TTCATGGGAGGAGGAGCTTAGGAGGAAATGGTTGCAATGAGACCTAAGTTGAGAAATTGGGAGCCCTTGACAATGCTCTGTGTTGCCTCATTTAGGACTGAGGCATGTGGGTGTCACTGTGTCATATATGACAAATGGCCTCAGGTCCTCAGAATTCTAGAATTTTCTTCTAATCTTTAAAATGTTATGAGTTGGTAACACAAATATGCTAAAAACCTGACATGCCACAAAGAGCCATTCTTTGTTCTGGAACTGAATTTGGCAGGAGCCAAAGTTAATGTTGAACAGCGTTTGTAGACACTATGGGCAACTAATTAACCATCCTTCGATGGGGCTGGTCTAGCTGATGTTAGGAGCCTGCCCACCTGGTTTATATTTCTTCCTCTAAGATTAATGACTCTACAATACTGCTGATTTCTGGGGTTAATGCAGGGCACACATAGAGTCCTAGGGAGAAAAGAATTATATTCACCCACACTAAATTTTCATTTTCTCAATGTGATCAAATTGGAGATGAACCTTTTCCTATGGTGGGATATTGAGTCTGATGCATGCATAAAAAGGCTATCTATGCTACTCCCATGAATTGCTGTCAAAAAACAGTGCCAAAAATGATAAAGAAACAAAAACAGCATTTTATGCTCTTTTCCTGAAAGGAAGGTTGTGTTTTTCTTTTGATTTCAACAGAAGAGAAACGACTAAAATACAACTGTAAAAGATAATTCTACCAGTTAATTTGAAGCTCTGGGCAGAAACTTGAATTATTCTTAAACCAGCAAGCCAGTGAATAATTTCTTTATATCTTTTCTATTACATAATGTATTAGCTAAGTGACAAGTCCCCTTTTTGAAATCTCCCTCTCACCACCTTTTCCTCTCTATATAAACCATATTATCCATTGGAAGGACTGAGAATTAAACCACTGGCTAGCCAACTTGCATGGTAGAAAAATCTCCTTGGTGGGCCCCTAGTACAACCCAAGACAAGAAAGGAAGGTGGAAACAGAGAAAAAAGGAGTTAAGATTAATTAAAAATAAAGTACTGTTTTCTTAT